CTGTCCCTGTGCATCCTGCTTGGATCCCTGCCTGCCTGCAGCACTTCTGAATTTGCCAATGCTCATTTCAAAAAGGACAAAAAGAGAGAAAAATCACCCTGTGGATACCCTGGAGGCCCGGTCGGGATGAACTAGGTTGTTCTGTAGAAGAATCGGCTTTGCCCAGAAACGCAGGCTGGGGATTGAACCCAGGGGCACTTAACCACTGAGCCACACCCCCAGCCCTATTTTGTATATTTTATTTAGAGACAGGTCTCACCAAGTTGCTTAGTGCCCCACTAAGTTGCTGAGGCTGCCTTTGAACCTGTGATCCTCCTGCCTCAGTCTCCTGAGCTGCTGGGATTACAGGTGTGCACACGGCGCCCCGCGGTGCACCACTGCTGTCCCCTCTCTGCAGCAGCCTTCTCTGCTTTGAGCTTGGGCTCAGGGAGACGCTTCTTCCGGGAGCATGAGCCTCACCTCTCCACCCACCGAATCCCCCCACCTTTAGGAACCTGTGTGGGTCGCTTCATGCTCCCGGAGCCTCCCTGCCCGCTCCTGTGTCTATTCTTTTTCTTTTTCTCCCAAATCCTAGATCCTTTGCATGTTGGTCTCTCATTGGCCACAGCTGACTTGGGGCACTCCCGCTGTGTCCTCTGGCCTTGCCACACACTGCCGTCTAGGTCTCTCTCAAGGAGAAGGCATTCTGGAAGGGCAGGAGCTGACCTTATGCACCTCTGCATCCTGCAGGACCCAACACTGTGCCCGATACTCTGGAGGTGCCCAAGAAGCTGCCCAAAGAGCACACGTGCTTCAGTGGCCAGGCACGTGGTCCTGGGCCTGTGACACCCATCCATGCATGGTTACAGCAAAGGAGGCGCTCTCCACAAATGGAGTCTGCCTGGCCTGACATCTGCAGCAGAGCAGCTGTGCCGAGGTCAGGGACCTGAAAATACAAAACTCAGCCACGCAGACTGCTTTCTCGGGAAGGATAAAAAGCACCGGCTCAAGGGGAGGAGATTAACAGTGAAGACCCTTTGGAAGGAGAGGTCTATTAACAGGGAAGACCCTTTGGAAGGAGAGAGCCACTTACTGGGCATCACCCATATCCTAGCAATTTATTTAATCCCTTTAATTTCCCTTTCTGGTCACTTTTCAATCCCATTTTACAGATGGAGAACTAAAGCTCTGAGAGCTTAAGTGAATTCAAGGCAAGATCATATTTCTAGTAAATAGCAGGATTAAAATAATAAAATATATGGTTTTCATACTGTGTTAGGTACCAAACACTTTACCCATGGGATTCTCACAATAGAGTTATGAAGCAAAATACTGTTATTAACCCATTTAACATATGCTGGATAAGCAAATAGCCTGTGGTCATGCAGCTGTGCAGTGATGGAGCTGAGTTTTGAGCCCAGACAGTCTGCTCAGAGGCTTTACCCCTCACCACTGCCTGGCATCTCCCAAGTTCAGACTAGACCTAAGCCCTCTCCTACCTGGAACCTTCGCATTTTAGCTCCTTATCAAGAAAGCCTTCCCCAGAAGATTTCTACCCAGAAAATCCATGATGTCATCTCTGGACACTGACAGGCCAAACCCAGTGGGCTCTCCAGAGGACAAGTCCATGGAAAAATTCCTGGCTGGTGGCAAAGCCCTTGGCAGCACAGCTAATCTCCCCTTCCCCCTGGGAGGTGGGCGCAGCAACCCCAGCCAGCAGGTGGCTCGGCTCTGCTTTCCTTTCCTTTGGGTAGGAAAGCCATCGGGTGACTAAGCCCTGCATAAACAGTGCTCCCAGCCTCCCTCCTCCGGCTGAGGGGCATCTCTATTTCAGGGCGGAACTCTAGGGCCTCATCCCTCAGCCACCACTTTCGCGCGTGGTTACCGGTTCCTGGGGTTCCCTCCTCCAGCACCGCTGCTCCTGGGCCTCCAGCGGGACGGCAGAAGCTCCCGTGCTGCTCCACTGTCCTGCGGGGCCTCTGGCAGCCTCTGGCCCGGCTTCCCTGTCACAGCACCAGGAGCCAGGTACACTTTACCTGATTAAGTTTCAAACGGCGACACACCCAGAGGAGGAGGGAGGAGGGGTGGGGGCGCCTCTGATCTGGGACCGGCTCCCAAGGAGGAGAGAAGGCCACTCCTGGCCTGCTGTGATTGGCTGCCCCAAGTCCAGGCAGGAGACATGTAGCTCTGGGCTGGCGCCTAGGAAGAGCAGAGATGTCGTCCTCAGGCACTGCCCAGCTGGAGGCCAGGGGGGAGGACATGTGTGGTCCAGGGATCGGGGCAGCCCAGGTACTCTCCGATGCCCTTGTGCAGCCCAAGGGCCTTGAACACAGGGTCTCTGTGGAGGGGGAGGACAACTCTGGCATTGCTTTCAGGACACCAATTTGGGGGTTGGGTGGTCACTGAACACTCCTGGGGTTGAATGGAGGACAGGAGGGCTGCTGTGGTTCTCTAGGACACAGCTCCAGGGCTGTGGGGGTCTTTGCACAGCCAGCACTAGCTGGGGACTGCAGGGCACAGAGAGGCACTTTTGCAGAATTGTCCAAAGCAGGAGCAGCTGGGCCCTTGGAGAGGACCCAGGCCTTGGCCCTTGGGGGTCAGCTGAGGAAACTGGTGTCCAGAGAAGAAAGGGACTTGTCCAGGGGCAGCAGGTAGCTGGTGTAGCCTTCTGCAAAGAAGTCCCAGCTCCGTCTGGTGGGAACCGCTGGTCTCTGGAAAGCCTCATGATAGCAACTTCGAGAAAAGGGGTCCGGCCTCCACTATCCCACAGGCGCGCCCTGGGGAGTGGGTGGGGTGCCAACAGGACCCTTCTGCAGCCATGGGCAGACCCACCCTCCCCCACCCAGACACAATAAGAATGATAGACAACTATGCCTGCAGCCAGTGTCTCTCTCTCTCTCTCTCTCTCTCTCTCTCTCTCTCTCTCTCACACACACACACACACACACACACACACACACACACTCACATATCCCATGAGATGAGTTACTGTTCCCATTTTTCAGGGGAGAAAATGGAGACAGCTTGACATCCCCAAGACCACACACAAGAAGGGTCAGGGCTGGGATTTGTTGCTGGGCAGCCCCGCTCTGTGGCCACACTCCCAGCCACCCCCCCACAGTACCTTGCTGGGCCGGGAAGGTCCAGGGAGCCTGGGTTGGGGCACCTCTGCAGCAGCACAGTCTCAAGAAACCCTCTCCTGGCCCTTTTGTCCCCATCTAACCAGCCAAGGGCCCAAAATCTAGAGAGAGCCAGTCGCCTAGAGATGTAGCCCTGAAAGTGCCTCGGGTGGCATTGTCCAGGGCCCAGGCCTGCAGTATTGACACCATGCTCCTTCCCAAACTCCTGACATCTATGGGGCCATTTGTGATCAAGGTTCACCTAGTATTTTTTTTTACATTTCTCACTCCCCTGCCCCTTTCACTTGTCTCTAGTATCCATTTTCACAAAATCATGAAGCATATATGCTTTTTCTAATACACGTTAAAATAATCACATAAATACTTGAGTGAAAAATAGTCTTCCATGTACCACTTCAAATTGCCTTGCTCATGTGAACTCTATTCTGGAAACCCTGGCTGGTTTAATGGCTGCTCAATTATCTGGAGAAGCAAGGCTCAGAGACAAGGTCCACCCTACCTGAGGACACACAGCAAGTATCAGAGCCAGCACCAGGGCCAGGGTTCCTGAGTGCCCAGCTTGGAGCCTTGACCCTTCATGTCCCCATTGATACAGTAATCTGAGGAGCCCCTAAACCTCTGGAGCTCAGCACCTTCGGGGCCTGCCTCTAACCTGCTCTATGCTCAGCTCCTTGCCCTGGGAGGGAAGACCCGGGGCTGCAGGGCCTTCTGCCAGCTGAGGGGGCTCCAGGAGAGCTTACCCCTGGGAAGCTCAGAGCTGAAGCTCAACAAAGGTGGGGTGTAGCTGAGGGGCAGGGTTCTGGAGTATACGGGCCCCTGATAAAGGTGAGCAGGAGGACTCTGCTGAACTCACAGGGCCTTGACGGATGGGTGGGACACTATGCCATGACAGTGTCATCGTGCTAGTGTCATAGTGCCGTGGGCAAGATCAGCCAGCCCTGGCTGGGTGCCTCCAGTGAGGGCTGCTGAAATAGTCTTTGACACTTTAACATGTTCCTTACAACAGTCCCGCGTGCAGCTAGTTGGCATCCCTGTTTTACAGCAAGGAAGGGGGAGACGGGTAGGGTTAAACCTGACTCAGTGCTGCTGAGCTAGTAAGGAGAAGTTAGGGTTCGCACCCGGCTACTGGGCTGAGCTTGGGGTCTAGCCACCCCGCTTGCTTCCCTGAGTGGAGGCCTGGCCTTCTTGGGGAGCATCTGCCCGGCCCCCCACCTGGCAGCCATCATCTGATGAGCACTTACTCCAGGCCTGGGCCACGGTACTGACAGACAAGGGGACTGGCTCAGAGTGGCTAAGGGGCTGCCAAAGGGCTCAGCTGGGCTGGGAACTCAGGCCGATGCTGGCTTTCGGGCGCCCACACTGTCTGTTTACTCCACCTACTGACTCCCGAAGCCTGTAGGAGGTGCTGTGCTGCCAAAAGCAACTGTCACAGCAGTCACCAAGCCTGGGCTGGGGCTCCCTCTCCCAGGCCTTCAGCTACTTCTTGCAACTCTGCTCTCCCCGGGCCCTGCCACACCAGGCAGGGATGGAAGCAGGGAGCTGGGGAGAAGCCTGGGCCAGCTCTGGCTCAGACCTAAACGAAAGCCTCAGAGGGCAGCACAGGACCAGTGGCCTGCCTGGACCAAAGACCCAGCACCCACCTAGTAAGCATGTAATTGTAGGGACATCTAATTGCCCCTCTTCTGAGGGCTTGCGGTAACTCCTTCCGACTGGTTCTGGACCAAAGCCAAAGAGGCAGGCAGATCATGGCCTTGAGGTCTGTTAGTCTTCAATAAAACACCAGTGCCTTAGGAGTTAGGGGCCCCAGGAAGTTCTGAAAGAGGAAGTGATGTGGTTAGGGCAAGGTTAAGGGCAAGGTCTCTAGGGGTTCCTAACAAAAACTTCAATATCGGGAGTGAGAATTGCCCAAGGCTTGCGCTGGGGCAGTGACAGTGTGGGGCAGGGGAGGAGAGATTCCAGAACTATTTGGAAGAAGAGTTAGTGGGACTTAGTGAGTGGCTAGATGTTGACAGGTACAGACAGGGCAGAATTGAGAAAGGATGGCTCCGCGTTTCTGACTGGATCAGCTTGGTGGGTGATGACGCTGCCAACCAAGGTAAAGAACATAACAGGAGCTGACGGCGGGGCGGGGGGGGGGGGGCGAAGGGAGTAGGCTGTGGGGCTCCCAGGGGGACTGTCCAACAGAGAGCCGGAGAGACACATCTGGGGCACTGGGTCAGGCCTGCACTAGAGACAGAGTCTGGAATGAACACCACAAAGCGACAAAAGAGAACAAACTCCCAGGGAGAGTATTTTGATGTTAATTTTTAGATTGAGCCAACCAGGCTGAGAAAGGAAGTCTGGGAAATAGCAATGTTCAGCTGGTCAGAAAGAGCATGGGGGCTCGAAGGCCAAAACCACAGAGGCGAAGCTAAGGGAGAAGGCTCAGCAGTGAAATATAGCAGAGGTTCCGACAGATGAGAACCAGAGACGTCCTCTGTGACTGGCAATTGCAGAGCCATCTGTGACCTTGCTGAGAACTGTTTTAGTGGAGCACAGAGGGTGAGGTCAAGCTACAGAGGGCATGGGGTGAGTGAGTGAGAATGGATGGTGGAAGGCGTGGAGACAGGGAAGGGACACTCTGTAGCTGCAGCTGGGTGTGGAGCCCTAGAAGATTCTTTTCAGGGCAGGAGACTTGAGCATGTTAATAGGCTGAGGATGGGGCGGGGAATGGGATGAGGTTGAAGAGATGATGGTGATCCAGGGACTACCATGGGAGAGTGGGTTTGCTTTGGGCAGGAGAGACACACTATCGCCAAGACCATAGCAAAATTGGTCATGAATGTGAATGACAAGTTTGCAGACGGGGGTAAGGAAACTGAGGTCACACCTACAGGGCCTCTTTTCTTAAAGCAGTATGCAAGATGTTCTAGGGTGGGGTGAAGAGAAAATACTGGAAAGTTTCCCAGTGGTCTTGAAAGTGAACCTCAAGAAATGGTGAATGGCCCCATGGGGGGGTGGGGCATGTCCCCATTCAGCCTCTTATAGCAGCCCTGAGTAGCCCAGGGAGGACTAGAGAGGTCAGGCTGGGCTGGCTTGGGGTTCTGCTGGCAAGAGCACAAGGGAGATGGAATCGGTCTGGGTGAGAGGAAATGAGCTGCTTCTACCCCTCGATTCGATTCTCTTTCGTTTAGGCAGAGGGCAGCGTGCTGGCTTCTAAATCCCAGTTTTCAGGTTCTGATTATCAAGGCCAAACTCAACCATCTATTTATCCTGGTGGGACTAATCCACTGCACAACATCATGGCAGCCAGTTTGCTGAGAGATAAAGGATTTCTGAGTGTGACACTAAAGTTATGTTCTTCTGCCATGGACGAAGAATGCTACTTTTGATTTTTCCATCACTGGACACAGAGGTTCTAATCTCTGTTCAAGCTGAATAACTGAGAGATCACTACCTTTTCTTCTGGGGGACTCCCTGTTCCTTCATTATTCACAGAAAGAAAACAAGTTGTGCTCTGGGATCCAAGTCTGAAAATTCAGGCTTTGGTGTGTGAAGTTGGAACACATTTAGATATGTGGTTACTAGTAATATCTTATGTAAAGGGAACACTCATTCCTAATATTTTGTGGATTTGCATATACCAAGCTTATTTAGATTTGGGTTAATTTATAGTTAGCAGTAGTTTTTCTTCAAACCAAATCTTTAAAACTACAAAGCCTGGCTGGATCTCTGAACAACTTACCCAAGACCCAGAGCATATCACATCCTGACTTGAAAAGACGCAATGGCCTACTGCAGCTGCCAAAGCCACATCTGTCCCTCATAGGTACTAAGAAAATGTCAGGCAGATGAACAGAGTAGAAATGTAACTAGTACTGGTCCCTCTGTCCCAGACATGCATTTATGAGATGTGTCTTTGGATAACCCCATCACAAAGCTCAGGCCACCTAAATACACTTGTTCAGGATCCCACGATCGGTGTACGCCATTCCGCTCCTACCCCCTCTAGCACCTTACATGGCTCTGAATGTGGGCAAACCATGGCAAACCGAAACCTCACAAGTTCTCTGGCATTCCACCCCTCACCAAAAACCCAGCATGGTCTCCACACAAAGGTTTTCAACCTATGTCCCCATGGACTACCTTCTAGAACAAACTCTGGTCCCACCAGACTGTTTCTGTAGGTCCCTGTTTCTGTCCAGGTCTGTGAGGCCCTCTCTAGAAGGTGCTAACACTTCCTTCTGAGCTGCCTACTCCCACCCCTCTCCCAACACCTGCTAGTTTTCATCTGGGGACACTTTGCAGTGAGTGCCATTTACTGTCTTAAGTGCATGAAGACGATAGCAGGCACTGTGCAGAGCAGAGAACTCTCCCCACAAGAGGAAGCCAACAAAATCTCAGGACATGCCAGGTGTGGTGGCACACACCTGTAATCCCAGCAGCTCAGGAGGCTGAGGCAGGAGGAGCACAGGTTCGAAGCCAGCCTCAGCAACTTAATGAGGCTGTAAGCAACCTAGTGAGACCCTATTTCAAAATAAAAAGGGCTGGAGATGTGGCTCAGTGGTTAAGTGCCTGTAGGTTCAATCCCTAGTACCAATCTCAACCCAACAATTCCTCAGCAGTGAAGGAGCCCAAGGGTGGCAGCACTCCAGCCTACCGGTCTTTTCCCTTAGGAGGTGACAGGGCTTTCCAATGAGCCCTGGGCTCTGCCTGAGTCCTACATGGCTCAGCCACAGTTACTGGGCCTTGCAGGGCTCTGCCTTTTGGATTGGACCTACTAAGGACAAAGTTTTCTGTCCCCCTCTCTGGGATCCCATCCTTACAGGTGAAACACTTACGTTCCCCAAATCTCTTAAAATCCAGAAAACAAGAGAAATAAAACAATTTAATGATGGCTTCCTTGATGTACAGACAACTCTAAGACAACAGAGGGACAAAGTTTCTCTCCATGCACTGGGACAATGAAATTCAGGGACAACTGGCAATCCAAGGATAGGAGTTTTGGTATTAAAGTCCACTGTCTGGCCTGTCACGTGGTCCAACCAACTTCTGGCTCAGCAACTGCAGACACAGGGGAGGGCTGAGAGCCTGCCCGGACTCCTGAGGCGGAACAGGGAGCCAGGCGGCAGAGCAGGCAGGAGGCACGGGCCACCATGCATTGGGGACAAGGAGGCCAGGGAGAAGGAGCCAAGCTTCCAGAATGCCCTGAAGACCTCTGTGAGCTCAGTGGCACGGGCTCGCCCACCAGTGCCGATCCTGAGGGCTGGGGCCGGCTAGGCCAGGGCAGAGGTAAAGGGGCTGGAAGGGAGGTGGGAGGAAGAGCCGCAGCAGACAGGAGCACCTGCAGAATGCTGGGCCCTGCTCCCTCCCAAACACTGAGTTCTTGATGACACAGCTTCATCTTGCAAAGGGCAAAGACACAGCTTCATCTTGCAAAGGGCAATGACATCTCCATGATGTGGAGCTGGAAGGGGTAGCAAAGGTGGAGCCAAGAGGGACAGATGCCACCCAACCCTGAGACCACCTTGGATAATCTTCATTCCTTTCTGGACTTCCTTCCCCCTGCCCCTCTAGCCCAAAGATCCAAGGAGACAAGAGATCAGAGACCCCATCACAGTCCCTAATTAAAACGGTCAGGTATAACATTTCCAAACAGGGAAACAGGGGAAAATGCCATGAGCTTTTACAGGGAAGACCCAGGGAAGACTGGCTGAGGCAAAAGAGGAAGCGGCCCCCGGCTCCTTCCAGCTCTGGAAGTTGGCAGCCATGGCCTGGGTCCTTGACTTGACCGTGCTGCCCCTCTAGCTGAGCATCTTGTGCCGATCGAAAACTGTCTTCCGCTGCTCCTGCACCTGCAGCTTCCACCGCTGCTGGGCACCCTCCACACGCTCCAGGACAGTGTTTGCTCGGGGGCCACTGAGGGATGCAGCAGCCGCTGCCAGGGACCGAGCATCCTGTAGTGGGAACAAAAAGATGATTAACCAGAGGGTCAGGGCCCTCGAAAGCCTGCCACGGACTGAACGTACCATGAGCAATCCTAAAGCCTGCATTCCCAGGGGCTGTGGGTTCCTGAGGACCTTGCTTTGTCACCTGCAGAACCTCATGCAGCATGTCTGGCCTGCTGGAGGCCTTAGTGTCTGTAGATCTGCAAGATGGGGAACCCTGCTTCTTCTGAGCCAGGAGGAGCGTGTTCTGCAACTTCAACACAAGCTAGTTCAAGTCAGGCTCCCAGCCGGAACCCCACAGGCCCAACTCGCAAGACGAATACTAAATGTTGGCTTCAAGACCCCAGTGACCATGCAACCTGGTCACTGCAGAACCCCCTGCCCTGCCCTGTTGCCCAGGGAATGGCAGATGGGGGGAGGGGCCTCCTGAGAAAACTGCAGAGCAAAGACTGCAGCATCTGTTCTACTGGGAAGGGGACATAGCACAGCAAGCTTACCTTCCCTGAGAAAAAGGGGATGTGACGTCACTCGGAGAGTCTGGCAGAGACGGAAATTTGGGGCTTAAATCTAGTATTTCTATCCAGGGCCTGCTGTGACCTGCTCGCTCCTAACGGCCACGGACATTCCCCCTGATGGCACCTTCCCTGACAGCTCCGGTGCTCCCCCTGCCCCTTGCTCTTAGACCTGTTTCTGTCATCAAAAGCCCTCCCCTAATTACCGCTTCTCTATCTCTGAAGCTCCAGAGCCCATGCATTTCCTGCAGGACCCGAACCTGATCTTTGGGGGGAATTAGAGCCCAGGGCCAGGCCCAGAGCCCATGGGGATTTCCTCCCTAGCTCTCCCTGCCTCTCATCTCCTGCCATACATCTCTTAAGGGATTAGCGCACCCCTCTAAGCCCAGAGCCGCCCAGTAAATGCAACTTTGCTTCTAATGCCCTGAGCTGGCACAGCTTCTGTCGCCACACAGCTGCCAGGCTGGGGAGAAGGGAGGGATTGTGAGGGGTGAGGTGAGGGGAGGGGCAGCAGAGATGGGCTAGCAGTGCAGAGAGGTGGCTGTCTAGAGAAGGGGCTGGGAGTTCACCATCCTGACCACTGGGATCCGAGAAAGCTGTCTCATGCACACTAATTTCTAGGGCGACTTAGAGTTGGACACTGCCCTCTGGGTACCCCCGACTCTGATAAAGATTCTCAGAAGGCTGGTGAGGCTCAGGAAATGCCTGATGGGCAGGTGCTGGAGCTTGGAGTCAGGATGCCTGGATTCTGTGCCGGGACCAGCCTCAAACTCTCCTGGGCCCATCTCCCAAGTGGAAGCACAGGTCCACTCTCGGCAGGTAGAGGAGGAGGTGTGGCCTCAGCCACTTGGCAGTGAGGTCCCTGGGCAAGTCACTTCATTTCTCCAAGCTTCAGCATAATAAACCTAGTCTTTGAGATTCCTTCCTCCTGTGCTGTCACTCAGAATGCTCTTTACCTGATGATCTAGTAGACCCACGCACACGGAGGAAAAACACTTCCCCAAACGGTACTGACTATGATGTCCTCATATTCTCTGCTCTATTTCATTTCATTTTTTAAAAATTCTGGTCATGACTCCCAAGATTCATTTGGTAATCTAATGGATCGTGACCCATGGTCTGAAAAACTCTGGTTTATGATTAGTGGCCAGGTACAGCAAAGGTCAGTACGTATGGCAAGCACTCGGTAAACTATAGTCCCAGAGTAGTAGTTCAGAAATGTCCGGTTTCCTTCTGCCTTGGCAGTTTAGCCCAGTGGTCAGGAAGGCTTTGGAATCAAACAAATCTGGCTTTGACTCTTGGCTCTGACCCTACCAGATACACGACTGTTGGGCAAGTGACCTTACTCTGAACCACCCGCCTGCCCACAGGCAGAGACTCAAGACAGCTTCTTAGTGAGACAATGAATGTGGAGCTGTTGGCAGTGCCTGTCTGCAGCAAGCATTCACCAAGGGCAGCAGTGGTCAGTCAGATCCCAGATCCAGGATCCACTTAGGTATGCAAAGGGCTAGAAAGTGGCCGCCTACGGATAACCATGGTGGCTGCCCTACCATCTCCCAACTCTGCTCTTCCCAGCTCAGTCGCACCCCTGAGCAGGCTATGCTGTGGACAGCCCCACCCAGTCCCACTTCTGCATGGCTGCTGAGATAAAGTGGGCCCTGAAGACCCCTGACTAGGAAGCTACTGGCTCACCAGGATTTGGCCAATCTGGCTCAGGGGCTTCTCTTCTGCCTGATTCCCAGTCTCATCCATTCTGAGACCAGTGACTCATGTCAGGGCCTTGTCAGGGTGCCTGGATGTGAGCTGGGGAAGCCTGGGCTGGGGTCCTTGGGGGCCATCCAAGAAGGGTTGGAAAAGTGTCAGTCATGCCTGCCCTCCTTGTGAGGCTCCGCTCAAGAGTGTCTGGAGGAGCAGAAGCCAGGGAGAGCCAAGAGCAGAGCATTAAAGGAACAGGCTGCAACTCACCGCATTACCACAGCATCATTTGTCAGCCCTTCATGTAAAGTCTTAGCAAACAGCTCCTAAGTGGAGGAAGCTGCTGCTGAGAGGCTCCGTGTTCCCAGTGCTAATAATCTGATTAAAAGGTATTAGAGACTCCACATCTGTTCTCAAGACGGCCCAGAGCAGGGCCTCCATCGCTGCCTCCTCTACACAGCAATGGGTGGAGGCAGGGTAAGGCCACCAGTCTCTACCCTTGTCCCTCGGAGGCTGAGTCTCTGGGGAACTCAGGGGGACAGAGGGAAGTTAGAAGAGTGGGTAGGTGGAGCTCCTGCCAATCAAGTGGGAGCAGCTAAGGTCTTCAAGGGACTAGTGTGAGTCTATGCCACTATGTACCAGGCACTATATATGATTACTCCCAGGCTTAAGCACTGGCAGATGGGTAATACCATTCCCATCCTAAAGATGAGGAAACGAGGCTCTGAAGGAGAAATACTCTTGCTACCCAAGATCATAATGCTGTTCAGGACCAAGTTAGGACTTGTACCCATGTCTGCATATCTCTTATCCTAAGGCTCAACTGTGTCCTTCTTTGGCTGATTTTTCATAAGAGGGGACCACCATGGATACCCAAAGAGGAGGGCTGGTCCCCCACCACCCCGCCCCCATCAAGGGTTACAGCAAGAACAAGGCACCTGTGCAGGAACCAGGGACTGGGAATTGAAGCAGGTCTTCGTCTCCAAGCAGGAGGACCCTGGTACCTGTGTAGGTAAGCCTGACCTGAAAACACTGTCGCAGGTGCACCCTCTGCAGCCCGCCAGAAGCTCTGGCTCTCAGACGAGCCTGTTTTCCTGATGATAAGCACATGAAGGGAGAGTTTTCCTGGTGATAAGCAGATGAAGGGAGAGACAGGATCCGCCCCCTTTGCTGCCTCCCCTTCCCATTCCCAACCTACCCAGCCAAATAGTGAGGAAGGACCCTCAGTCAAGCCCTCTGCAGAGATGATTAGAGTCTCCCTGCACTTTACAAATTTAACCCAAACCTACTCTACCAGCCAACCAAACAAATCATGCCACTCCCCTGCTCAACACTGGGCTAGAAACCAGCTACTCACAGGTAAATCGCTCCTAACCACAGAACCCAGACCCCTGAGCTGGCTGAGCCCATTCCCACCTCACCATCCACATGTGGCCCTGTTCATCAGTCACACTGGCCTGCACCCTTTTTCCACCCGCAGTGGCCACCTCACTTGTGACCTCACCCCTGTGCTGCCCCTTGGCCTCCCTTCCAACAACCAGGAAGCTACTTACACGTTAAGACTCGAATGAAATACCTCATTGTTAAGGATGAAAAAGCAATTGTAAAGCTTCCCTGCACATCCCACAACAGTCTTGCTGAGGGGAGAACGATCTATTACCTCTACTCCACGGCTGGAAAACTAAACCATGAGGTCAGCGCCAAGGACAGTGAGTGGACAGCTGGAACTCCAAGCCAGGCCTAGGATGTCACAGCCCTGCCCTGAACTACTTACTGTGCTGTATGTGCTGTTCTACCCGCCCCCACCCCCCCAAATGTTCTAGGAATGTCTGTTGAATGGCACACCTTTTTATTCTCTCCAGGGGGAGAGACCTTATCAATGGCCCTCACTGATGCGTGTCTTTTCCATGATTCACTCCAAGAGTGGCCCCGGCCTTCTCTTCTCCCAGGCCCTACGTGTTCCCAGTTCCCTTGGTTCTCATCGTCCTTCCAACTCCCCTGCACACCCCTCTCCCACAGGGGCCAGAACTATACCCACTGCCCAGCTAGGCCAAGACCTTTGAGGATCCTGTGAGAGCTCAGCGGCCCATGCTGGGAGTGGCGGAGACAGTCAGAGCTGCAGACAAACCCTCGTTTTTCTCTTCAAAGAGGGCCAGACCTATACATCTAAAACAGCTCTGTTGCCGTTTCTATCCCAGCAAACATGCTGGCTTCCTCCTTTCAAAGGGGCGTCTGAGCCCAGGGATTAGGCCTAATGCTTCTGGAATCCCAGGGGAGGCAGCGCCCAGCACTCAGGCCCACTGAGGCTCTGCCAGCCGTTCAAAGGGAGCATGACAAGCTTTCATCTCCCGCCACAGCCTTGGGCTGAGCTGCGGGGGAAGGCTCCCCTTCCTCTTCCAGTCCTCTAGCCCCCTGATGAAAGCTCCCGGTCACAGGAATTGGGGGGATGGAATTGAGGGGCCCAATCCTGAGAAATACTCTGGTCTTCAGCTCTGGGTCCCAGGCTCCTGAGAGAGGGGCTGGAAGCGCTAGAGCCTAAAAGCCTTCCTTCTAAAGTCACCCAGTTGTCTAGACCTACACAACCTCTAAAGGAACTTCAAGAAGCCAGGTTCCCACTTTTCTTCTCTTGGGATGTGGCCCCGGGAAGCCTGGCCTTTTCTGTCACCTTCGTGGGTAATACTCTCCAGCCCAGAGACATGGCCACAGCCCTGGCTTTGCTGTTGCCCAGCTGGGGCGTCCTTGGGACTTCCCTCCCTGCTTCCCAACCCCGCACATCCCTTTCCTCACGGGTGCTGGGGCTGGGGGCAGCAGACAGTCCCTCACTGTCCAGGACTAAGGTTGTTGGGTATCTGTAGGGATGAGGTCGGTCCCTGGGCCTCTCTAGCCAATGCCCTTCCATCCGCCCTGCAGCAGCTTAGCACGCCTCCCACCCATCTGAGCTGGCCCTGAAAGTCCCCTTCTGCCAAGAACCTTCCTTCCATGACTAACATGAAGAGAAAGACCTAGGAAAGGGGACCCTCCTAGAACAGCCAGTTTCCTCACCTGACCATCATGTCAACAAGCCAGATCTTACTGATGGCCTCCATGTTCCCTATTTGCCTGGATTGGGTTGCTCTGGGACTGAGTCCCTGAGGGCTGACATGGGTGTGTGTCAATCAGACCCCTGCGGGGTCTGAACGCAGCAGGAGAGGATCGGAACTGCTGAGCACAGGACCTACAACTAGGACACCGCACAGAATCAGGAGGCGAGGGATGGAAGGCGATGCCAGATAATGGGGTTAGAGGACCCCGATGACACCCATCCTTCCTGGACCCTGCATTCGTGCTGGACTGGCCAGAGCTGGCTCTGCCTCGGGTCAGAAAGAAACTGAAGACAATTTTGATGATCTTCCGACCTTGGGGTGAGAGGCAAGGGTGTTATCCTGAGGGCAGGAGTCACCTCTACAGGTGGGGCACAGGCTCACCAGCCCTGACTTCAGTGCTGCCTGTGACAGCCCGGTGCGCTCAGGGGCACCCCTTATATATGGCTGGATGGTGACCTTAGAGAGCCCTCCTTCCTACCCAGCCAAAACGGCGCCCAGGCGATGTCCACCCTCTGATTCAGGTCCCACCTCTGGGAACTGGACTGACCAAATCTAACCCCTTCTTCCTCCCCAAGGTCCTCCCACAGACAGATTCCAAGTGGGGAACACCAGGTCTCTTGTAGGAAAGACCTGGGCTCAGACCCGCAGACGGCAAGTTGCCCTTCCCCTGGCTCCATATCTAAGATGGCAGGAGACACAAAAAGGCCGTGCCCGAGAGCCACACATTCCAGGGAAATCGTAGCCTGGGCTGTGTAATCATCGGCTGCATCTCTCAATTACTCCCCGGCCAGGGCTGCAATTACCACATTACCCCTAATCGCCCAGTGTTTATTAGTGATGCTCCTCCCCCCTCAGAGCTGCTATTACTCTACATTAATAACTGGGTGGGCAGGCAACCTTCCTCTCCAACACAGACCACCCAACTGCCAGCCCCACCACGTCCCAGGCCCCAGCTCCAGCGGGGCCAGGCTCATCACCTCTGCTCCACCTTTAGCCAAATTCATGCCAGCAGGAGGCTGGGGGCAGACTGGGAATAGACCCATACCCAGAAGCAGCAGGGCCACTAGGAGTGGCCAGGCTTCCCTGTCTCCCTGCCTGACCCACCCATGCTGACCCTCGTGAGATCACCTTGGCAGCTTCACGCACAAACTTGAGCCCCCAGATCCTCTTTTTGGTGGGGAACCTGCCTCCAATCCAAGACTTGAAAGCTCTGAACTGGGGCTGTCCAGGGGGCAGTCTGGCCTAGCCTGGAACCCATGGTGACCCACACCTCACCACCTTACAAGGGAGCCTGCTCACAGTACTGTCTGCAAGGAGAATCCTTCTTACATTGTCATGTCAAATCTCCTTCCCCAACTCCCATCTTTGGGGTCTTCTGTTCCCAGGGGAAGGTCAAGTTCTACTCTACAAACACCTAAGGCATGTGCCTTCTTGAGTTTGTTTTTTCTTCACCAAGTTAAACATCTCCCAGTTTCTTCAACTAAATCCCCCAGGACATGACTGAGGCACTTCCCCTCTAGGCGTTCCTGTGGACATGGGAACAAGCTCACCATGACGTGCACCGCACCAACAGGTGTGTTCCACCAGCAAGGTCCTAGGGACAAACCTCAGAGACAGTCTGGAGACAGGGTTGGCAGGCTGCCTGGCATCAGTGCTTCCCCATCTTCTTTGTCATATAAAGTTGACCTCTGAGACCTTTATTAATATGACCTAAACTCCCTAGCCAGCTCCACCTACCACTACGCCTAGGTGCCCACCTTATTTTGGGATGATCAAATTCCTCACATGTGCACAGCGTCGATGGCACTGCCACCCAACTCCTCCAACTCTAGAGCTCCTAGGACTGAGGTTTGCACTGAGTACTCAACAGACATTTGTGAAATCACCAAACCAAAGGATAAACCTGATGTCTCCAAGGCCACCACTGACTTGTCACCAATGCCTGAGCAAGCAAGAAACCATGTGTATCTACGTGTGACAGGCCCTGGTTGGTTTACTTCCACTGTGCCTAGAAAGAGTATGACACAGAGCTAAGGCTCCCCAAGCTTGTACACCGAGGCTGGTTGGTGCCTCATGTCAGGAAAAGTTGGGGCTATCTCCTGCTTCATCTGGGAGGGCAAAGGGCAGTTCCTTGCTTGAGTCTGGGTGATGTATAGGAAAATGGGCAGGAGAAGAGCATGGGGGAGCAGAGGGAAGCAGGTAGACCCTGATCCCCACCAGGTGCAGAGGAGGCTCTCTGGGTTGTCCTGGGGATTTGTGTGGGCAAGTCCAGGGCCTCATTTACCTCATTCTCCTCTTCATTGTGCAGTTGTTCTGTGTAAGCATCTGGTTTTCGAATCAGAGGGTCCACCAGCATCAGGAAGGCCATGTACAGCAAAAGGGCCCCCACCACGGACAGGTAGATGACAATGATGACCTGAGGAAGAGACCCGGCTTATGCTGTGAAATAACACCCAGGGCCAGGGGAGTCACGGGCCATCTGTGCTTGGCTGCCAGCAACTCCTCCACTGTTGCACTGGGAAGACTGGGAAGTGGCATGGGCCTAGAGGGCAGGAGGGCCACGAAGAACAAGGGACAGCCCCTGCCACAGACTGACCATGTCTGTCCTAAGCTGAGGGAGCCCCACAGCAGGGAACTCTGGAGGTATAAAGATACTTCTACCCTCAGGTAGAGGGTTAGGCAGTGGTGTCCTCGCAGCATGAGGTCCCTTCCTTGCCATATAGGAGAGGCAACATCTGGTTCTGAAATAAAAGCCTCAGGCATCTAGTTCCCCGTAAGTGAGGCCCACTGGAGCAAGTTCAGAGACAGAAAGGGGAAGCTCCAGGAGAGGAGTACAAAAGGTGTGTGGCCTGGATGACTGGACAGGGCGACAGCTACTTTCTCCTTACAAAACAGGAAGAGGCTGTGGCTCCCTGAAGCAAGTAGAAGGGGTTGAAGACCACTCCCACTCCAACATGCCTCAAAAGTAGGAGGCTGAGGGAGGACTCAGCAATGTCTTTAAACTCATGAGAGTTATTTTCTGATGCTATCTAGAATTGTCATGTAAAGCTTCAAAAAGGAAAGGTGATTTCATGGCCTCTATGAGATGGGATGTGGTCAAGTCCTACCTGGTGGCAGAGGAATGTGGTGTCCTTCCTCATTCTCTATGGTGGCACAGGTGAAGTCTACCACTTTTTTCCTGAATTCACCCAAATGATTACTGAAAACAGGGCTCAGGAAAAAACAAAAAAGCCCAGGTTCTGGTACTGGCACCCGGCACCCAGCACTGGCCGCAGATCTAAGGTTTTCTTAGAGGAGTCTGACGTCACTTTGGAAGTCTGATGAGACCCTAAGCTCTGAGAAGGCAGCTTTACTCCCAGCATGGTGTATGGGGCCCAGAACACAGCAGACATCCAAAAAAGATGTACTGAACAAGCTGGGCATGGTGACTCACGCCTGTAATCCTAGCAGCTCAGGAGGCTGAGGCAGGAGGATCACAAGTTCACAATGAGGATCAGCCTCATTAACGTAATTTAAAAAGGGCTGGGGATGTGGCTCAGTCATTATTATTATTATTTTTAAGAAATGAATTAAATAAATGGAAGCGAGAGGAAGGAATAAAACTGGAAAGAATGGAAGGGGAAGGGGAGACTCTAGCTGCTCTCCCAGGACACTCTATCTGTCATTGTGTGGGAGCCACTGGAAAGATGTCGGAAAGGAGAGCCAGCTCCAAAGATGTGCGAAGTGAGACCCTGTGTCTGTATGAGGGCCCAGAAGCCAGTCCCACTCGCCACTTGGAATGTTCCAGAATAAAGCAAAAACTATGCACAT